TCCCTTAGCCCCCCGGGACAGCGTAGAACCTCCCACACATACCTATGTTGACTCGCGTTGGTTTCAAGCCGTAGGATTCGAGCTCCGCCTGCGTGTATCGGCAACGCAGCAGAGGCCATTGTGTCGTGGTCTGGAGAGCCGTCGCGTCTCTCGTGTCGTGGACATAATGCGTACCTCGTGAACCCTACTACTGCCGTTCCTCTCTTTCCTCCTCGTACGTTTTGTGCTTATTCATGATTTGTTCATGACTGAGATTATTACGTGGCGTCCCCTGATGATTGATATATTTAGAAGATGGGGAAGAAACCATGAACAATAAAAGAGAGAAAAAAATGTATATTACATCGACAGTTGTGGGAAAGTTATCCTGCGTAAGTTTGCAAGATTTATAAGACACGCCCTCTTTTACTGCAAGGTGTTTCGGGACATTAAATAGAATTTGTTTAGGATGGCCAAGAGGTTGTATTTTAGACTGGAGACTAAGCTGTGGGACGGAGGTATCTGTCGTCACTCCCTAGTTTGCATATTAGAGGTATCACCTTTTTTTTTTCGTTTTTTTCTTGTTCTTGCCTTTGTGTTGTATATCCTTTGTGATAAGAGAAGATGAATATGCGGAAGGCCAGTGAATGGATAGGAAGAAACACTCTCTCTCTCTCTCTCTGTATATGGGTGTGTGTGTGTGTGTGTGTGTGTGTGTGTGTGTGTGTGTGTGTGTGTGTGTGAGTATGTATACTTATACATATATACGTATATGTATGCACACACACACACGCATATATATATACATATATATATATATATATATATATATATATATATATATATATATATATATATATATATATATATATATATATATATATATACGTATCAGAAGCGGAGTCCGTATATTGGCCCGAGCAAGTGAGGGAGCGCGAAGTGCTGGAGGTGATGGAGATGTTGTGCCGCAGCTAATATTGTGATGGAGGTGATCCTTAACGGCCCCAGACATGACGTAAACATTGTAGAAGACATAATGATGGGCCGCTGCCTTGCTCTACCCTGTTGGGGGGGGGGGTTCTCTCCGCGTTTCATTCACTTGTCTTAATAAGTAATTCTATATATATTGAACAAGATGGACGGGGTTTATCATTTCTTTTGGAGGCTTTTCAGTCTCTGGACTATATATTATTTGGGGCAAGATAGTTCTATTTATGTTTCCGTACACTGATTTATTTTACTGGAGTCCCTTACGAAAAAAATATCGATTTTATATTGTATTCAAGCAAAGATCCTAACGAAATCTGAAGTAAGTCTCTATCTACCAACAATATCTTTAAGAGAAATCCCAAATAAATCTTTTTATTATTACCAACAATTTCTTGAAACAAAAATCTCATATAAATCTATTTATCTATTCTTTCCAATAATTTCTTTAAACAGAAATCTCAAATAAATCCATTTATCTATTCTTACCACGAATGCCTTTATCAGAAATCTCAAATAAATCTCTATCTGTTCTCAACAACAAATTCTTTAATAGTGACAATAAGCCTGGTAATAACGTAAATCTATTTGTTACACTGAATTGCGCTAGGTCAGTGTAGAGAGTTTTGTGATGTGATGAGAACCAAAACAAACGAGAGTGTCGGCGGCCGTGGTCCTGGATTTTAGCATTTGATTTATAGTCCGCGAGATAGATGATGGCTAGTGATGCTCGGGCCGTGTCCGAACACTACAGATAATGACTTCGGTGTTACTGTTACGCGCGTTTTATTTTACTCTATTTTCGTCGTTTAAGCTCTAGTTTTATTCGATTGTTATTGGTAGTGAAGATTAGATGTTTTTGTAGGTGATTGAACAAGTCGCTTTTCGAAAAAGAGGAGTAAAAAGATAAGCTAAAGAATATTGGCCTGAGTTCCGAAGGTATCCGTGTTTACGTTCGCGGAGTGAAGGTAAAGGGACCATAGAAGCTCTTAACTTCCATTCTCAGCGCGCAGACAATGATATATGGAGCTCAAATTTTCTCCTGGACAGTTTTAAATAAGAATCGGGATCGTTAATTTTGTGTATTTTTGGCCGGAGAAAATAATTGTTTTGGGGAAGCAAGAAGGAGCGTTTTTTTGTTATCTTATTCCGGTGCGGTGTTTCAGAGCCGTGTAAGCTGCGTTCTCGGCTTAGCGTTTCTCATTCTTATGTTTTTTTGTCGGAACTATTTCGTACTATAACTTTCGTAAACAATTACACCCCGTAGCTTTAACCGATCACCGTTTTCAATCTTCTAAAAAAAATGGCTTTTTTTCCCTCTAGTGAACCTATCTCCCCCCTCCCCCCCTCCCGCTGCCACTCCGACCCCAATCCACGTCGAGCATCAAACACACACTCATACATTTTACGCAAGAACTTTCTTCGGCTAACGAGAAAGGAATGATGTATTTTGAGCTGTTAATCCACTTAAGTGTTACATTATGAAAACGTTGGAGCACTTACATTTAGATAATGAAGTGGCGAGTTGGCAAAACAGTAAACAACGTTGGGGCTTCAGCAGGCCTACGTGGCTGTTGGGTATATTTGGGGGGAAAAAACTTTATTTACAGACTTATAAGTTTCCACAATAGAAATACATATAACTGATAAACAACCTCTGATGATAGACAGAGAAATTCCGACCAATAAAATGACTTTCCGGTAGAGAAACATTACGGAAATACGCGACGTAATTTGATCTGGAAATGAAACATTTCGTTGCCCCCCCCCACCCCCCGTGCCAACATCTAGAGATTGTTCGAAGCCATTACTCGCCAGGTCCCCATCCCCAGCGCGCCAATGGGACTGACTTCATTAAATCCCAGTAAATAATGCAATATCCCCCATATTACCTGTCTGCCGTGTTTTGCATTTGCTGTCAATTTTAATCTTGCAAAGTTTCCTTAAGGTCGTTATGGATGCTGTTGGCGGCTCTTTTATTTCTCTTTTATAGTTCTCTCTCTCCCTTTTTTCCTTTTTTTTATTTGATTCGAAGTATTGAGGACTTTGTTCACCGAGAGTGATCATGAGTTGCCGTTGCATTAGTAAGCCAAATGTGACTTAAAAAAAAGTCTCTACTTTGAACTTCTTATTTGATATATTTGTTTCTGTATGATTGTTTATATGCACACACACACACACACACACACACACACACACACACACACACACACACACACACACACACACACACACACACACACACACACACACACACACACACACATATATATATATACACACAAACACACACACACACACACACACACATATATATATATATATATATATATATATATATATATATATATATATATATATATATATATATATATATATATATACATATATAAATATATACGTATATATATATATATATATATATATATATATATATATATATATATATATATATATATGTGTGTGTGTGTGTGTGTGTGTGTGTGTGTGTGTGTGTGTGTGTGTGTGTGTGTATGTGTGTGTGTGTGTGTGTGTGTGTGTGTGTGTGTGTGTGTGTGTATTTTTGTGTGTATATATAGATAGAAAGATAGAGAGACAGAATCTTTATTTCTTGCGATGTTTCTTCCGCTGTTATTATTTTTTTCGTGTTTTGTGAAATTGGAAAAATTGCACTTTATCTACCATTCTTTTATGAGATACCTTTTCTCAATAACTTTTTTGGTCCCGAGCTTGTCCTTGATAACTCCGCGTAATTACATATTCACAACTCTCTCTCTCTCTCTCACTCTCTCTCTCTCTCTCTCTCTCTCTCTCTCTCTCTCTCTCTCTCTCTCTGTCTCTCTCTCTCTCTCACTTCTTTTTCTCTGTCTCCATATATATTTATTTGTGTATCTCTATCTCTCTTTCCCCCTTAATCTAACTCTGGCAAGCTATCTGTTTGTCTATTGCTCTATCTCGCCTTCCCCTCTCCCACCTCCCAACCCCTCTCGCTATATTCTCTATTTGTCTCTCTCTCCATTACCTCTCTCCTTCTCCATCTCCGCACTCTCCACCTTCCCTAAAATCCGCCCTCCATCTATCTTCTCTCCGTCCCTCCCTGCCATGCATCTTCCCTCTATGCTCCCACACTCACACAAAGATCCCATTCTCCCTCCCTCGGCTTCCTCACTCTTTGCCATCATCTCCCGTCTTCCCTCACACACATACTCGCGCTCTGCCTCTCTCCCTCTCTCTCTCTCTCTCTCTCTCTCTCTCTCTCTCTCTCTCTCTCTCTCTCTCTCTCTCTCTCTCTCTCTCTCTCTCTCTCTCTCTCTCTCTTGCTCTCTCTACGGGTCCCCCCCCTCCTCCTTATTCTCCTTCTCCCCCCTCCCTACTCCCCCGCCTCCCCATTATTCTCCCCATCGCCCTTCCTCTCCTCTCTCCCTCCCTTCCTCCCTTTCCCCTCTCTCCCTCCGTCAGTCCCGGCCCCCCTCCCTCCCTCCCTCCCTCCCTCCCCCTCTTTCCCCGAGACTAGTTCCGGCTCCTCCTGGTGTTTTCGCCGACCGAATCCCGATGGTGGTTTCTTTGTTCACTGTAATTATCTTGTTTTGAAATTTTTATCACATAATTCGTCTTGGGGTACATCGGAAGGTAGCGCGCACCCCCGCGTGATTGACTTAGGCGGGGCTGATGATAAGGAAGGTGATGTGTTGATTTCGTTGCACTAAGGAGGTTTTGGCGCGAGAGATCGGAGGTGGCTTCAGGGTCGAGGGTTGGGGGGGGGGGGAGCGTCGGTGTGGTGGCGGTGAATATGATTCTTTTTGTGTTATTGTTGTAATGTAATTGGCGACACGTCTTTTGATTGTGAAATATCGTAAGGATATTGGACTGATATTAAAAACACTGTAGGCGTTGGTTTCCATAGCAATCATAAGAACACGCATAAGAACACACGAAAGCGTTTTATAGGTTGTTTACACTTTGTATTGTTGTTTTGTATCGAGTTGAATAAGAAAGGTAAATTCCCTTTAGTTAATCGTCTCCTTCCTTTCCAGGTGCGAGAAAGACTAAGAGGTCCAGGACCTGAACGCTAGCAAGAACTCATCACAACGCACACATCGGATCACCAGCTTGACAGCTTGAAGCTTTCCCAGCCCATGAAGAGGTTCTAGCCGACCTGAGGTGGCCTGGGGCGCTGAGGCCAGGTCGACTCGAGGCGGCCTGGGGCGCGGAGGCCCGCCGACGCCCGCCCTGGCCGCCGACCGCCTCCTCGCCTGCGGTCGGGACGGCAACGGACCGAAAATGAGCATGTCGAGCAAATTTTGTGATATTTTATGCAGAAAAAATATATCTCGGAGCTCACAAGAGCAGGTGGTATATATTTTCTTCCACTATGATCCAAAGCGATTTCCCCTCAGCGTCGGACGGACAGTCCAGCCGCGCCGAGACCAGCGTCGCCTCGCTGCCGAAGAGGTGGCCTTTCCGTCTCTACTCGCAGTAGGGAACGGAAACGGAGAATCTCCCGCCGGGCCTCGGGCGGGGCTAGAACCGCGCAGAACCTGGCAGTTAGTGAACGCTGAAACGATATCCTCATGGGTGCGGAAAGAAAAAGAAACAGCTGATGTGGCCATCTTAGGTGTTCCTCAAGATGATGTGTGATGTGTTAACTGCTAAAGACAATCAAACTATCAAGAGTTATCAAGATGAAAGTGAAGGTGATTGTGATGAAACTCTTTAACCATAGCGGTGGTTGTGAAGAAGATAAGTGGATAACGATAGGTTTCGATGAATAATAACTTCTGTTGTAAAGATGTTGTGATAGAGATAGTGCTGGAGGCTAGGCTGGGAGAGACAGGACTCGCGCCGGCCGTCTCCAAGCATAATGTTCAGTGTGATATGCAGGGTTTCCCACCTGCCTGATGCTAGCGGGCGGCCGACGACTCCTTCGGCTCCACAGGGAGACTGCCGGGTCAGACGCTTGGGACGTGGCGTGTGAGTTGGGATTCAGTGCGATGCTCGTCCTCAGCCCAGCTGGGCGGGGGCGTCAGGGCGGAGGTGCTCGCCCGCCGGTCATTCATTGCTGCAGACCACGCGGGGCGACGCGGCAGAGCACCGGGAGCGGAGCCTACGCAGTGCACGAGGGAAACTGAAGTGGCGGAGGAAACTTCCTTGCTCACCCACGCCAATATCGCCAGTCGTGGAAAGTGTCATGGTGCTTTTCATACATTGTATAAATTTAATAGAATTACAGTTTTAGCAATGACCAGCTTATGTAACGCAGCAATGAACCTTTGTATTTTCATATGCAGAAAAATGTCTACCCTCATTTTGTTGTCCACAAAAATCCGCGCATTTTTAATACCATCAGCCCAGGTCAGTCACGCAGTTATTATTTATCTAAAAGAAGTTTAGCCTCGCATAACTGCACCGTATGATGAATGTCTGAGCAAATAAAACAAAGGCTTCGATGTTCTTGCTGCAGAAGTGAAGCGAGACGGGGTTCGAGTGGCAATTAATAACTGATTGTATCCCTTGAAAAAGACTTTCACACGAAATACCTGAAGGAGCAGTCAGCCGTGGAGTGAACAGACATTTTGGTGTGTAATTTGTTGAACTCTATTTTACCCGTCGTTCTATGCTTAAATGCAACAGTCGAGCTGTAACCATTAGGCTGGTTCCTAGACGAGGTAATCTTTTGTTTATTGGTCAAGCCTCATTGTTCATGATTCATATGTTAAAGCATAAAAGTGAATCGTCATAAATGGGACTGACGGAATGGGGCAGCAAACTGCATGCATTCTGCTGGCAGGGTATTCTTTGTGTAGCATCGCATGTGGACGTTACGACTCCAACTCTCAAGTAGTTGGTGAACAGCCAGTGGTCGCCTTCGTCGGGAGGTCGCACGGGAAGGATGACCTAAGCCACAAGGTCTTCGGCTCGCGGGTGAAGGCGTTGTGTGCACGGACTTGCTGCGTACCTCGTGCCTGGAGACCAGAAGATATCTACGTAAGTTGCACAGCACTTGCACCGCGGGGGAATCGTGCAACCGTTCCCTTGAACAGAGAGGGCCAGTTACTTACCCAGGCCAGATTACTCCACCAAGCCTTCAGGGAGTGAACGCTCGTCCTCACCAAATACTTGAGAATTAGGTTACCTGTATGTGTAAACTCCGCTGGCTGGCGTTTGTACATAATAGTTTATTCCTATGTACATACATTTTTTATGTCGTAGGTCTTACTAGAAACAGAGCCTTGAAGCAGTCGGCAGAATTGTTAGTTTTATATTGTAGTTCCGACTGGTTTATAATGTCACAATCACGTATGGACGTAGATCCCTTTTACTGTCTGGTTCATGTATTGAAATTAAGATTCTTTACGCTGGTTCTTGTTTCGTATGTGACGCCAGAGTCTTTATCCTGGTTCATCTATGATACTAATATTCATAATGCTGGTGCGCGTGCAGTGCCGAATTCGTTACGCAGAATCGTCTTCAGAGATCGGAGTTCTGACGGTTAGCTCGCCATCGCCGGGCGGGCGCGGGGCAGGAGCCGGCGGGGGCCCTCCTCTCGGGCGCCGGGAGACCACCGCCCGGCGTCGCGAAGGGCGGACTCGCGGACCTGGGCTCGTCTGCGCGACGGAGGGCCCGGGCGACGAGGGGGCTCGCAGGCAGGCTTCGGGGTCGTCGACTGAGAGCGGAAGGGGCAGAGGGAGGCGAGGTCGGGGGGAGGGGGCGCGGCCAGAGGGAGCGCGGAAGGCGGGAAAGGAATTGTTATGCAGTTGTTGATAAATTTAAACAGGGATTCGGGTGCTTCAAGTAAACACTACACTTTCTCATTACAAGCTTCCTAAGCTTTTTAGCTTCTTATTATTTCTTTATGTTATTTTCAATATGATGTAAATGCATCACGCTAAGCAAATTGTTCATATATATATATATATATATATATATATATATATATATATATATATATATATATATATATATATATATATATATATATATATTACACACACATACAAGTACACACACACACACACACACACACACACACACACACACACACACACACACACACACACACACACACACACACACACACACACACACACACACACACACACACACACACACACATACACACACACACATATACACACACACATATACACACACATACAAACATACACATATATATACAGACACATACACATACATACATACTTAAATATAGACATATACAAACAGACATATAGACATATACATATATACGAATACAAATACAACCTATAACACACACACATATATGTATACATATGTGTGTATATAATTTATATATATATATATATATATATATATATATATATATATATATATATATATATATATATATATATATGTATATATATATATATATATATACATACATACATACATATATATATATATATATATATATATATATATATTATATATATATATATATATATATGTATATATATATATATATATACACACACACACACGCAATTAATTCGGAAAACTGATTTGCTTTCGTTTGTTGGCTCTGCCGAGTATAAGGAAAAAATCACTTTTTCTTAAGAGTTGTACCGGGCAGTAGCAAGAGTCAGGCATGATGAACTGAAAAAAATGCAATTCATTCTTAAGAGTTATATTATGGTTAAATTTTGTTGCAAATCAGATTAGCAATTGTTCCTCTCATTCTTCATTGAATTAATTCCGAAATCCACAAAGTTTGGTTCATTTTCCCCAAAATGATCAGCCGTTTTCAGCGTCTATGCACCGCTCGTCTTCTTGCCTTCGTTCTTCCTTCCCTTTCTTTCCTAAACAATAAGGCAAGAATAACGAAACGTATTTTCATCTTACAAAATGCGAAATAATCTCAGCCTAAAACATTCAACAAGATTAGCACAGTAAATTAACTCGAAAAAAGATGTAAAAAGCATTCTTGACAAAGACGTGAGTGAGCATTTTTTTTTTATGTGATCGTTTAGGATAATTAAATATGATGAAAGAAGAGTTTATATTATAAGCTTAAATTCTATGAAAAAAAGTACATTTGGTCCCATTCAATGCAGGACGGAAATAGATGTCATTGTGTTTAAAGCAACGGTTTAATTATTATATATATTTTTCTACCATAAGATATATCTAAATTTCCCTCGTGCGTTACCATAATCTCTTCTAGCAAAATTCCAGTACGAGTTGCGGTAAAAAACATGCCCTGTACAAAAATGTTTATCCATTTAAAAAAATATATATATGGATTTGTTAGTTTTTTGTTTGCGAGAGAGAGCATAACCTGAAATCGAACTCAAGCGAAGCGGTTCACATTTGGCAGGTGAGAAATATATGTGTTATTACGGCAAGGTTGTGATGCGGAGGAGACGAGGCCACGTACCCCTGAGTGGCGTAAGGAGAGGTCGCTAGATAAACACCGTAGCATAGTTTTTACTATACAGAGCTTGTACGTTAGTTCCTCTGTGCTGTTTGTTTTTTGAGTTCCATGGAGAATATTGTATTCCTTGTTGTATATAGTGTATAGGATTTTATGTCATCAAGTACCAAAATGACGAAGCATCGCCGTCTGTGAGATTGGGAGCGTTGTGTCGTAGGCTACACCGGAGATTTTATATTTTCTGTACTTAATTTAAGTTAATTGTAAGCGCGGCGTGGTCGTCATTTTGGTTTGCAACGTAAGGACTTGCGCGATTGGCTTCCTTTTTTATAATGGAAATCTATGATCGAAGACTCGACTCACCGTTCATATACATAATTTGATCGGCTCGTGGAAGCTTTGTGATTGGTGGTATAGACAGGGTATCCAGTATAACCCCTGACACATTGTAGCTTGGCCGCGGCCGAGGCTGGCCCGGCTGGCCACGGCGGCCGGCGCGAGCCCTCGGCTGCGGCGCCACAACTAGGGATTTCTTGAAGCGGCCGGCTCGGCTGGCGAACCTTTAGCGGGAAAATGTTAAAATTTGAATATCTTTTGTTGTCAGTGTTGTCAATGATCTCTATATTACCTTGTTATGTT